CCCCAAAACCCCAAAACCCCATTTAGAAGAATCTATTCTATGCTGACAGAAAAAATTAATAAGAATAAAAAGTAGGAGATCCTTACTCAAATTAAAATAGGTACTGCTTAATTTCGTAAGAATGAGGAGAGCTTCTCTATTATTAAATAATTTAATGCCATTAAAGACCTACTTGATTTACACATTGACTGGACTTTCATTAGTTTGGACTGCCAACTAATGCTTCAAACTGAAGGGCTACATTGATTATCTTAAAGAAGAAGCTCCTGATTGCATGAAGCCTAATCCAAATAGGACAGAGCTCATAATAGCTGCCATTATGATCTAACTCTGTGTTTAATATCCAGTTTAGATGCTTTCCAGATCATTATTTATGAGCTCACTTCCTGAAAAATTTCCAATAGGATCTAGTTTGAGAAAAGAAAAGGCAGAAATGATGGCTGAGAGAGTGTACAAATTTTTTATCTACTCAGTTACTTCTGGAGGTCTTTTCTTCGTACTTAAGCAAAGCAACTTTTATCACAAGCTTCTTTGGGGTGATCAAGAAGACCCTCAATACTTTAGTAATTACCCATGCTAAAAAATTCCAAAGTACTTAGATGATATTTACATTTTGAAGCTTTCCTATCATGTTTATGAATTGATTTACACAATGGGATTCTAGATTAGCAGAAGAGACTTCCCAGAATACATCTTTCACCATATTATAACTCTCGTTTTAGTTTTATTCTCATATTCTGTCAATTTCTTACCAATAGGAGCGGTGATAATGCTAATCCATGATTTTCCAGATATTTTTATTAGCTTATTCAAAATCACATATGATATTGTTAGCAGCAAGTTTTAGCATATCTTGGCTGCTATTATGTTTCCTTTGTGGATCTACTGTAGAATCTTTTTCTTCCCAGTTTATATGATTGCCAAATATTACGAGTAAGCAGCTCACTCAGATCATTACGTGTAAGAATGATTGGGATTTTATTGATTACTATAGAATTCAAAATGTTTTTCATATTCTGTTCTGGTTCTTAGTAGGACTTTTACTTTTGCATTGTATTTGGACTAATTTAATTATCAAGGGTATTATCAATAGAATAACTAATAAAAAGAAGGATAGAGTCTACTTGCAAGGAAAGGACAAGATAGATTGAGATATTTCAAGCAAATTTCTATCTGATCTTTAATTTCTTAATTCTAAAAGAAGCAGACTTTATTTGGAATATTAGATTTCAAATCGGTCAACTTATTATTTGATTTAATATACTTTACATAATTCTCTTATAAGAAATAAAAAATGTAAACGGGGTTTTGGGGTTTTGGGGTTTTGGGGTTTTGGGG